GTGTGCCTGAAAGCAAAAATTCACTGTGGAACTCTCTTGAATTATGACTAAGCAAAGTTGGTGCATTTCTACAAAGGTTTCTGAGGCCAGTCTTACTGTATATGTATGTGAATATCATGTATTTCTCCACAAGTAAATCAACAATACATATACACAGGCTTCTTAATGACAGCCTGAAAACCTTGAGTGCAAACATAACTTACTCGAGCTATCCCACTGGACAAATACACTGGCAGGAAGATGAGATTCTTTCTTCATAGCATATTTTCTTATCACACTAAAAGCATGCTCTTAGAAAAAACTATAGACTGTACATGTTATTTACACTATTACAGTGTTTCTGTGTATGCTTGCAAAGTAGGTGCTTCACAATGAAACGTTCGTTCAGCAGCTAAAATAATGAGTTTATAGAACCTTTGCATGGTGCAGATTAGGATGGCTGATAACTTTTTTATTAGAGATGCCTTTGGGTAAGATCTTGCAAGACCCTATTTAACAGTTCTTGTATTAGTATAGAAATGGCTTTGATCAATTAGAAGTAAGCCATTTGGAATTTGACAGTTAATTTCTAAACTGACTTGAGTGTGTCCCCATGGGAATTTGCATTGATTTAACTTAGGCATGTCAGACTCACTTGGGACTCTCCTGCCCAGGACACAGGGGTAGGTACAATGGTGACAGTGGTGGGTCTGGATGTGGAAGATATATGGAGGTGACGAAAGTGCCTGACTGCTAGTGGCCATTGGTAGCAAAGTCAAAAGACTCCAAGGCAGGCCAGATAGAGAGGCTCCACAGGCCAGATCTGGCCCCTCGGGCTGTATGTACAACACCCCTGGTTTAACAAAATCAGTTTTAGCTAAATCAGTGCTAACTAGTGCAGGTTTTGGGCTAGTTATAAAAGAAAAATAATTGCATGATTCTGGTCTAGCCAGAGAAGGGTGTCTGGTGGGAGATATTTCATTAGAAGCTTTTAGGAAAACAAAGAAAGGAAAATAGATGCCAGTGGAGGAACTACAAATCTGAGAGATCTGAACCCAAAATTAAATCTGATGCAAATGACTGTCAGCATAGTAAAATATTTTGCTGATGTGCCGTGACCTCAGACTTGTACTTACCTGAGTGACAGGAAAGTTGGAGAGCATAAAGAATCATCAGTTTCTTCCACATTTGCGTCTTTCATTTTTTTTAAATGATCTGAATCTGTTCTTTAGTGGCAGGAAAAGAAGTTTTCTAAATGTGAGTTGATGGAATGTCTTCCAGAGTCACATTTGGTACCGCATGAAATGAACAGACTTTGGTCAGTTTCCAAGCTGCTGTTCAGGTCAACAATGAAATGAGAAGAGTTACCTTAATTTTACTCAGCTGTAACACATGAAGGCTCTGAGCATAGCAGTAAAAGTATTAGTTATTCAAGAAGAAGGTAGGGCAGAGCATGTTTCTCTTTTATAGTAAGTAGAAAGGAAGACTCTTTTGATCAGACTCCCAGTCAAAGATGGATAATAAAGATAGAGCCCCCAGTTAGGATAATTTTTCAGGCCACTTCTTGATAAATAATCCCTTCTAAGTAGATGGGGGACCATGGGCTTACACAGGCACTTTGAATTCACCGCTTCTCCTTGCCCCCCTGCCCCACCCAGTCTTTTGTCAGCTTCTGAATAGTGCGCTTAAACGGCTGTAATTTTTTGTCCTGTTCTACACTCTTGTCACTTTAAATGGATCTGAGGGATGATTTGTATAGACAACATCATCCAGGAGCATATTCTTGTTAAGTTTGTTGTCAGAGCTCAGGCACACTGAAGTAAATGAAACATCTGTGAGTTTTAAAAATATTCTTGATATTATATGGAAATGTGCGCTTTAAAAATATTCTTTATTATATGGAAATGATCACACTTTACTGGGAATTTCTAAATCCATTAATCATCATATGAGATAATTGAAAAAATGTTGTATATAAAGAGATAAGACATTGAATAAATGAATATATATTCTGCTTGGAATTGGAAAGTAAATAAAACTTACTTGCCCCCAAATATGCATGTCACCACAACCGTACATTTCACACTCTATTACAGTATCTCAGACCCATTATAAATACACAACCAGGAAAAGCAGTATTTTTAATCAGTGCATAGCTTTCAGAAATCATGTGCAATGGTGAGGGAGAGACAACTTCATGTTACTTAATCTTTGGTAGGTTTGCTACTCCTTGCCTTCTTCATCTGCCATGTAAATGTTGTTAATCCTGGGTGAAAAGATGTCCTGCAATTAATCTTACTGAAGGCTCAGGATCTACATTAGCTCTGAACATAATAATTTCAGTGTACATGGTCTAAAGGTTTTATTGAATTAAGAGGAAGCATACCTTAGATCTAAATCTAGCTGGTCTGCTATATCACCAAACTATTAATAACCAAGTAGTTAAATTTAATTAATTTCACCTCCCTCTTCACTTCCTCCTAACTGTGCTCATCTACCCATACTCTTTCCTTACTGTTCAAAACCAAGATGTAATTTTTCCAATATGACGCAATGTTTCTTATGGTTTCCCCTCCTTGATAGACTTGAATGGGGGAAGTGCTATGAGGTTCCCAAACTGCTGTCTGGGTCTAAAGAAGTAGAATATGGCTCTTTGAATTGCTAGTGAGAAATACCTCCCAATATGTAGTTTTTAAATTTCTCTTCACTGTCAGAGTTGTAATTGACTGGGGAAAAGTCCTTTGATCTTGTCTCATTAACTCCAACTGTTTCAGAAGACAAATTATGGGCCATCACACGGAAGTATCTGAATACTAATTTAAAACTTTGTTTACATTTATCATTATGGGATAAAAGAGGAAGTAAAATGTTTCAAAATAACTGTAACGAAATAAAACTAACCTTACTACCTTGTTAGAAGACTTACTGTATTTTCTCAAATACAAGAGTAAGTTTTTCCCTCCCTAATTGCATGGGGAAAAAAGTCCCTTGTCTTATTGCATACAAGGAGATCTCACTAAATACATTGTCACTAAAATGGCCAAAAGCAGTATGTGCTTAGCCATGGAAACCAATTATGACATTGATTAAAGGTAGCGAACACTGAGCATGGCCCACATTGGGAAAACATGCTGATGGGGACCTACCACAAAAATAAATTAGTGCAGCCTATCTGAATAAGACATATATAGTTGTGCCCAATAAGTGCAGTCTGCTTCACTGCCGGCTCTTTTTCAGGTCACAGTGAACCACTACATTTCATGCATTTTGACTTCCACTTCACTCCCACAGCTGAGCTGCATCTTTCATTCCCTTTTCCAATTAGTCCTTTTCTTCACCAGCCTTAAATGCCTGGCAAACATCACTAAACAGAGCCCCAAACAATTCATCCTGACTGACCCCCTCTGTCGCCCCCTTCCTCAGCCTGGTGCATGTGATTAGTGTAGTCCCATGAAGGGAAGCTGGACCAGGCTGCCCTGTATTTTGCATATACATTTTTGATGGATCCCAGGACCCATGACAAGAACACCCAATTCCAGTCATGAGAGGGAAGCTAATTATCCCCACAAAGCTGGTGGGGGATGGGGTCAGGTGGGGTCCCCCCCCCACCCCCTACTTACCAGCATGGAGCCGAGGTCCAGCTCCCTGCGGCAGTGAGCGGAGACTGCCAGAATCTCCAAATCGATTTGAAGGCTTTCAAATAGATTCAGACTTTTTAATGGGTCTCCCAATCTGATATGGAGATTCGGCCCCCGAGTCAGGCCTTATCTCCTCCGAATCGAATTGGCTACCAAAGCTTGTACAGCCCTAGTACTTAATAGGCCTGAGAAACTGCAGCAACAGCATTTTGTTGTGGGTTTCTGAATCGCAAATATTAAGTATAATAGTAAATCGGAGCAAAGAAATGTCTTTCCTGACACTTTGACCATAACTGCAGAATGCAAGTGTGATAATAAGCTGCTTTCAAATACGTTTACGTTTATTGTTTGGCTGCATGAATGAATTATTCACAGCATTTCATTGTTCTTTTTCAGTTTTTTTGAATTTCTGCTTTGTCTTGTCTGATTTTTTTTTTTTTTGCAGTGCAAGGTCTCTAGGGGAAGGATCAGACCTTGAATTTTAGACTGTATAGGGCACACTGATTCTCAATTAATTGCAAGAAAATATCCATGCTTTGCCATTTCAGGCATTCCTATGTGCCAGTTTTGTATTCTATATTTAAGCAATTCTGTCGGACTCTTTTGAGTTGTTTTACATTTAATGCATGCAGCATCCCTTATCTTCTATTGCTGTTTTTGTTGTGTACAATATTATATAATGCACTTTCTACTAAAGGGCTTTCTTAAAAACTGTTAGCACATTAAATGTAAGGCTTTGTCACAATTAGCTTAAGCTTTTGTTGAATTTAGACTAATGCCCATTGTTTGTACCTGAAGTCTTATTTTTGCAGCAGAGTTAGCAATGGGAGCTCCCATGTAAAGTTGGGCTGTTAGTAAGCATTGTTCATAATTCTTGAAGCCAGCTATTGGATTGTTCCTAACCTTAGTTCATTTAAAGTTAAGTAGTCTCTGGAATCTCTCTTGAACTCAAATCTTTTGTTCTTAGAATTTTTTGCAGCTTTCTTTTCAGCATGCCTAGAATTTTTTTTTTTGTAAAAAAGGACAGTCTAAATCTATTTTGCTAGATAATATTTTTTACTTAATTGCTAGTAATAAGGAAGATGTATCAAGTGATTGTTGTTTGTTCTGCAGTTAGATAACATTTTTAATTTTTTTTTTTTTTTTTTTTTTTTTTG